CCGAAGATGGCTTCACTTTGCCATCCTTGATATCTTGCAGATATTGTGGGCAAGATCTCTTCCCAATGCCCCTTTTGGTTGCAGTAAAAGCAAACTGCCTCTTTTGGATCAGAAACATGGGGAGTGGAACCATTGGGCTTAGCCTTTGGGCCATTACTAGATGACCCAGCTTGAGCCTTGCTCTTCCAGTTTTGCTTGGGAGGACCTTTCCTCTTTTTCTTTTTCCCTTTCCTGTCCAATAGCCAAAACAGGGGCACTAGCAGGTGTGGGGGGTATACTTTTACCCTTCATCCCTGCCTCAGCTGTCTGCAACAAGTTGTGCAATTGGGCCAGGTCTGCTCAGTATTGTTCAAATGGTAAGTTAGAATAAACTGACCATAACATTCAGGAAGTGAGTTCAAGACCATGTCAATGGCCAATTCCTCATCAAAGTGAATATTGAGCTTGACCAACGCTCTATGTAGCGTTGCATTCTTTGCACATGTGACACAAACCGACCCCCCCCTTCATCTTGCAAGCCATGAGTGACTTGACTACTTCGAAACTTTTCTTGACGAGCTCGCTTATGGTACTTTTCCATAAGGTCCTTGTTCATCTCGAAAGGCCAGTAGTCCTCATAGTACCTCTGCAATTCTGGGGACATAGTTGCCACCATGATGCATGCCACTTTGGTAGCATCATCGTAATGTTTCTTGTAGGCAGCAAGATCTTCAGGAGTAGCTTCATTCTCATCAAGCTCTTTGAGCTCCTTTTCAAGAACATATTCTTTGTTCTCGAAACGAAGAGCCATCTTGATGTTGCGCATCCAATCGTTATAGTTTGAGCCATCCATAACGACTTTGGAGCAAATATTGAGCAAAGAGAAGTTTTGGTTGGAGGAGGACGAAGCAGAAGTGTTTCCAGGAGTAGACATCTGAAAGAAAGAAAGTTTTAGTTAGATTTCAAGATACCTTAATAGAATAACCCAAGATATAATATCAAGGTAGGATCCAACTATGAAGATTCACAACTCAGAAATGGGATGCCGAGATCCAAGTGCAAATTTCATAAAGGTAGGTGAATGACGATTCACCAATTCCACCATTAGACGAAACAAACGAAGTGAAATTCCTAATTCTTTTGAGATACATTGAAACTATTCAATGGCATGTTTTAATCTCAGATTATGCTCTTCTATTTGTGACTGGGATGCCGAGGATCACAAACAAGATGTGAATAACCATGCAAATGTGCTTGGTAACCTCATTGTCTTTATCATTAACTATTGATGTGCTGGTAAACCACACACGCTCCATCAAAATGACAATTATGAGATACCCATTACTACTCTTTATTAGTGCCTTTTAGTGTGCTGGTTAACCACACACGCTCCACTAACGACCATAAGCATAATGTGCAATTTCATGGATTAGCATACTTTTCACATTTTTCTAAAGTAACTAGAGTTGGGATTTTTGAAAATAATGTTCTAGTACTTTCTTAAATATCATTATACTTTTAATGAAAGTAGTTGTCCTATCAAATCCGTTCTGCTAACGACCCTCCACTAATCAAGGAAGCGGTGGGTGAGAGTGGACACCCATTCAACTACCATTTTATAGCAGTTTCCTTATACCCCCCCTTATAGATTAGCTTCGTGAATGAGGCATACTAGCGATTTTGACTGACCATATTCTTATACATATATAATATTAAACTTTAATTATAATATATATAGAGGGGGTGTGTTTTAAAACATTTTTAAAACTTCAAGGGTTTATAAATTTGTATTTCGAATTTAAGCTATTAAATTTAAATTTAATAAACCAATTAACTAGATTTAATATTTATCTTTTAATTAACTATTAATCAAATTATTAAATCTTTGTAAGGATTATCTAATTAAATTAATCCATTAATTTAATCCTAATCCTTATCCCTCTAAATTTCGAAAAAAAAGGGTAAGGATAATTATCCAATTAATCTAATTAAGTAACAATTATCCAAAAACAAGAAACCCTAGTTATCCTCTAGCATAGCATAGTTCGAAATTCATAAGGAGGAGGACTGAGGGTTTTAAAACCCTAACCCTAATTT